AAAGTCCTGAATAGGGTTAGATGTCAATATAAAGCTGAGGTTTGACCAACTGGATATTCAATCCCTTCCATCTCCTGATGAATGACTTCTGATTGTGTTTCTATGGCAAATAAAAAGTCTATAAATTGTTTTCACATCTGTTTAAATGAAAACAAACACACTGATCAGACAGGAGCAAGAAAAAGAGGTGAACACAGTCCTAGTGAGAGCACAGTATGAAAACATCCTAAACAGACACCAACGTCTGCAGCATCTGAAAATTAAATGTTCTAATTCGGAGACATCAACGGCCCTGATAGCACCCGATGACCACCAGACCAAGCGTTGCGTAGACGTGTGCGTACGATACAACGATCGCCTCAGGATGAAGTTAGGGAGACAAAGATAGTGCAGGTTGCCATTTTGCCAGAGCGGTTTTTTTTGTGTGTGTGTGTTTCTGTGTGTGCATGCGTGTACTATGGTTCTAGGCCATGGCCTACTGTGCTGCGCTAGATAACTAGTTCCCCTCCAAGTCAGAAGTGAGAAATGCAGTTCTCTCTGTTTCTCTCTCTCTCTTTCCCACCGTCTGAGTCTGTCTCTCTCGCCCTGTTGCTAGGCTAAGAGGAGGCCACTGGGATTACACTCTAAAAATAAGGTGTCCCTGATACTCTTTTGCTCTGATCCATCTCAATCAGGCCCTCGCAGTCCTCGCACCCCAGTCTGCTTTCCTGTGTCTTCATACAGTATTGTTTTCACTGTTTATCTTTGTATTTGTCTTTTCGTCTGTCTGGGTGTCTGTCTGCGTCTATTTTTGGCTACACACAGCCCGAGTGCTGATGTATGATAAGAACGACAGATGATCAAAATAAAAAGGGAGGAGGAGGGGAAGGAAGGGAAGGAAGGAAAGAAGGTGAGACGGATGAGAGAGATTGACAGAGGATGCGAATTTGAACATCGTTGGCGGTAGAGACGGCTAGGGAGGGTGAAATAGAGAAACAGGATATAAGAAGTGAGTCTGCCCCAGTTTGGGGGGAAAAAAAGGGAAAGTAAGAGAGAGAGAAAGTGCGCCAGGCTGTCAATAGCCACAGTGGAAACATGTGGTCTGTCAACTACAACTGATTCCATCCACGTTAACGCCTTTGACACACAGATCTAATGAAATTAATCTGAAGCATATTTTGGTCCTCCGTCACCCTCATTGATCAGCTGTCTTCATGTTCGCTGTGAAGGACAGCTTCTTGGCTCCTTGGCTCGGTGGACAACAACAGCAACCGAAATGTAAACAAATGGCAAATCATGTACATATATATACAGTATGCATCAATTATTTATAAAGAGCCAGTGTATGCGTTTCCTTATGAACATCACAGCTGTCATCCCCAGGGCTACATGTATTCAATGATGTGCCTGATTATTGAATCTGTTGTGCTTTCAGTGAAGCACTAGTCTACTAAGTGTCGAAATAACGACAAATCATCGTAAGTCATCCTGAGCTCCCAGAGCATTTTCATTTGTTTTGATTTTTTTTTTTTTTTATGAACAGCTTCATAAGAGAGAGGCATTTATTTACATGGTGGATGGGCTGCAGCATTCAATCGAAAGCACATCGGTGACAGAAGGCGTTGGCCAAACCTAAGTGAACTCATGAGGGCTCAGGGTTGATCAAAAAGCTGCCAGACTGGGCCTGAAGAAGTCCAAAAACATACCTGATTTTAATGTCATCCCGTCAAAGTCGTTACCTTATAGAGCAAAACATCACTCCCAACGTTTCTGCAACGCTTGTCATGCTCCCTGGAAGTCCACTTGTGTAGCGACATCCGAGACCTCGTGTCGCTGAGAGCTTGGGTCTGTTTGTCTGATGCACAATTCAATAATAGTTCACTGAGTTTTATGAATAATGCCTTTTATTAAAGGAAGATAAGATCATTAACTTATATACACGCATGCAAAACTCCAAATCAAAGTAATCGAGCAAAATAGCACAATAGTGGTCAACAGGTGAGCTTAAATCCCCGCCCATCCACAGGAGCCGCTATCCCCCTATCAACCGTGTCCAACAAAAGTATATCACAACCAAAACAACAAGAATCAATCTGCTGCTCTTTAACCTTATAACGAACATACAGATGTACTCACGGCTCCTACAGGATGTTTTCAGCTGCTGCCAGTGGTGTTCCACAGGTCCGACAGTGTTCTGTGACCTGCTGACTAATGACAGTTGCTGCTCGTACATGTTGCACAGGGCCGCAGTCCACGCATCGGCACCACCAACATTCTCAAAACGTTTCGATTATACCTTGTGTGTGGACTGGAGGAGCTGGAATTGGACTCTTAACTAATCCTGCAAAAAATAAGAAATAAATCTTATCTTGCGGCTGTGGTTCAGGTGGTAGAGCGGTTGTCCTCTGACCGTAAGGTTGGTGGTTCGATCCCTGCCCCCTCCACAGTCAAAGTGTCCTTGGGCAAGACATTGAACCCGAAGTTGCTCCCAATGGCAGGCAGCATCTTGCATGGCAGCTCTGTTGCCATTGGTATATGAATGTGTGTGAATGGGTGAATGAGAAACATTGTAAAGCGCTTTGAGTGCCGCAAAGGTAGAAAAGCGCTGTGCAAGTGCAGACCATTTACCATCTTCTGGTACTTCTGCCTCCAGGAAATAGCCATACGTCTGAACACTAAAGTCCAACATGACAAATACTTTGACCTGTGGTTTTATTCTATTGATTTATTTATCAAACTGACTGGCAGTCTTTTTCAAATTAACTTAAGTACTATGAGACACAGTTAATGATGTTGTAAGCGTTGCAGGGGATGCTTGATGAACACTTTGCACTAACCTGCATGTACTTCCTGTTGAGTCTTTTCAGCACTACGAAGCAACACAAACCTGCACATTTGATTCAGCTGGTGATACCCGCTCCCCGAAATACACTAAAGCACTTGCTATCCTTGATGCTTTCCCTACAAATGCAGACTGTATGCCAAAGAGACTGACCAGACAACTGTTGGTGCCTTAGTGTTTTGCATTTGATCTAGATATTTCAATTTTGTAAAGGTTTATTCTTCTCTCTGGTGCTTTAATGACACCATTTGATGTTTTGCATTTACAGTTTTGCCTGGCCTACAGGTTTTGGAGGGATAATGACGCACAGTATTTTACCATAACTGGATGCTGTTGCAGGAAAATATCACTGTGGTCTGCATTCTTATGGCCTTAAAGGTTCAGCACATAGGACGCAATGCACAACAAGCAGCACTTCAAACATTCAGATGTCCAGATCTAAAAAGCCGATGAGCAACACATGCTGGAATATAAGAGGCATGAATGTTCAGTTGTCTGTTTTGCAAAGTTAAAGATAACGGGCAACCCAGACAACACCTAACTGACGTCAGACAAATTGTATGAAGGAAAAAGGTCAATTAAATCAATACTCTGTTTTTAAAAGTGCCAAATAGTAAAATGTAATTTGCTTCTAAACTTTACCCAGACCTGCATATTTAGAGATGTCTTTAAACTACGATGACTTTGGGCGCTAGTCCGATTTGACTGCGGCTGTATTTTGGTTTTGATCTAAGCTCCCTCTTCTTTCCCTGTCCCAGGTCTGAGCAACATTATAGGAATCATTGTGTACATATCAGCCAACGCTGGGGACCCTTCCAAGAGTGACTCCAAGAAGAACAGCTACTCCTACGGCTGGTCCTTCTACTTCGGCGCCCTCTCCTTCATCATGGCCGAAATGGTGGGCGTGCTGGCTGTGCACATGTTCATCGACCGCCATCGGGAGCTACGCGTGGGGGCGCGAGCCGCTGACTACCTCCAAGGTGCGGCCATCACGCGCATCCCGAGCTACCGCTACCGTTATCGACGCCGCTCACGCTCTTCGTCCCGCTCTACGGATCCCTCGCACTCTCGCGAGGCATCACCGGTGGGCCTCAAGGCCTTCGGGACGCTGCCCTCCACCGAGCTGTCCATGTACACGCTGCCCAAGGGCCAAACGGGCACCCCAACAGCCACCTATAACTCCACGGAGAGGGACCACAACTTCCTGCAGGTCCACAACTGCATCCAGAAGGACCTGAAAGACTCAGGCGGCCACAGCAACACCGCCAACCGGCGCACCACACCTGTATGAAACTGACAGATGGACCACAGACACTAACAAAAATCAGTGGGACTTTGGGGGGAAGCCAGCAAAAGACAGATCATGGTGTTAGGAGGCAGAAAGAGGAAGAGACGAGGGCTTAAATGGATAGATTTAGGAGAGAGGGGTAAGCGACAGAGGGGGAGGTCTGAGCGCTCCACGGCACCTCAGATAATCACTGAGTTTCTGTTTAAAAAAAAGGAAACGGAGTAAAAATGCATAAAAAAAGAAACATGCATGATTTTCCCATGAACCATTGTTTAACAAGTTTTGAACATGTTTGTAAAGAGTTGAGGGGGAGGACGGGGGGAAGATGAGTTGGGAGGGGGGGGCCTTCGGGATGCTGGGGTGGGGTGGGCGGTGGTTGTCTCGGGGCTTTGGAACAGCGGAGCGGTGGGCTCGGCCAGACTGCCCATTTAAAGGCGAACTTTATATTTTTTACTCTTCCTCAGTCTGATCAAAAGGGGGCTTGATTTGCCCCTCGGCCCTGCCTACGAACCTGCCCTCGCACTTCCATACCACAAGCCCCCCAACACGCGCACCCTAAACTCCCTTAAACCCCACTCCTTTCTTTAGTTGCTGTATCTTCTTGATTTCATTCTTTATTCGCATTAATACTGTGAACCATTGCGGTGTGGGATTTAGTCAGGGAGCAATTCAGGAAACAAAAAAAAAAAAAAAACACGGAAAAAACAAGAAAAAAAACACATAAGTTAATATATGTATTGATTATATATAAATATATGAATATATATGTTAATAAATCATGACTAGACTTCCCTGGCGCAAAAAATATCAACAAGAGAGAGAAAAAAAAAAGTAACTTACAAGTGAAACTTAATCAAGTCGTCATGGAAACTAAACCAAGACGGAGGATTCATTGTGACTGGCTCACTTGACGGGCAAAGGCTTCGGCCTACTTGATAAACTGATATTGGTTAGTATTAGACACATTATCACATTCTTTTACAACAAGAAAAAAAGAAAGAGAAATCTTTTGGCCTTCCGCCGGACCCTGGCAGCCATCTTTGTTCAGGGCCAACTAGAGGTAAACGTTGACCTCGCTTTTTTCTTTTTTTGTTTTTGTTTTTTGTTTTTGTTTTTTGTTTTTTGCCTCATAAAGGGGCGGAGTGAAGAGAGAACTTTGGGTAATGACGGATGATCTCTCTGCAAACTTGAAGATGACTGTGGACAATGAAAACGTCACTACTGCCAAAGACACAAAGTAGTGCGTGAGAGAACACGGCTACCAGCGAGCTGAAGCTAAGTGACTCCAAAAAATTAAGAATTTACATGCATGCTAATCAAAATCATCCGATCTGCTTTTAAGGAACCTATGTTTTGAACAACTGAACAATGATACCATGTAAGGGCAGTGGGAGTGACAAAGTAGAAATTAATGTTACAGTACTGTGTCTATTTCAATTCTTTTCTTATTTTTTGTTTTTGTTTTTGTTTTGAGTGGGTATTTTGGGCGGGGCTTCGTTACGCTTGAAACAAACAAACAAACAAACAAAAAAAAACTTTGGAAAACGTATCAAGGCTTTTTTTAACAGAAGAAAATCTCATCTTGCCTTTTCATTTGATTTCATTTTCTCTCTGTTCCTTTGAACTCTCACACAGCCTTAGTCTCTTTCTTTATCTCATTTTTCTTGGTCTTTGGTTTTGCGTTGTGTTGTTGTAAATGAGAATTTAAAAAAAAAAAAAAAAGCGTAATGTCTTTCAAGGTGCCAAAACTGAATGATTCTGAACTTGGATGCATCAAGTCCTGATGACGAATAAAAATTGAACCCCTCCCCCGTAGGGAACTGAATGAGTCTTTGTTTGTATTATATTTGATCTCAAAAAAAAAAAAACAGGTTAGGAGGTCCAGTTAAACCAGAGCAAATGTTGGGACTTAGGGCATTTTGGCAAGACGGAGACAGAGCAAAACTGAAGATGAGGATGATAAATTTGAGAAAACAGGTTGATAGGCAGCGTGTTGTCATTCATTTCAGACCTACTGAACGAGAAAAGCAAATTTCGGATTTTCTATAGTACCTGACTGGGTAGCATCTTAATACATTTGTGCAGCATCAATGAGGCAAGAATGATTCTAAAGTTAACAAATGTAAACTTTCTGTCAATATGGCTGAAGGCTTCCTAGAAGCTCCACAGAGTTCTGTGAAAAGAAAATTGAACGTAGAGAAAGGCTCGTATGTTTTGGTACAAGTGAGGACAAAATCTCCAGATCCTGCTTTTCCTTTCCAACGTTGCAGATGCATCACTGAGACGTATCCACAGTGATGAACAGGTTATGATGGGAACCTTTTGCTTCCAGTGTCCTGTCACTGGGTCCAACTACAGTCGTGACTCGAGAGTCTGACACTAAATGTAAAACCTTCTTTTATGTCGGATATCAAGGCTGTTGGATTGTCAAGACGGAGGTCGACATACAAGGAGGGCTTGATGCTGGAAGGTCATTTGTTGTTAATATTTATTGTTCATAGTTGTTATAATAACTAGTAGGGCTGGTCCCAATAGCACTTTCTGGTCTCTGGATATTCAGGTCCAATTAATGTTGAATATCTGAATATTCGGAGCGGTCAGGGGACACTTCCATCCTGGGGTGCGCTCCGACGGCGCGGAAGTGTCTGCACAGGCGGTACTTGGCTGCTGATGCTAGTTTAGTTAGCGCTCACACTTCTGTTTCCACCATCGGTGGCAGCGGCGCCACCATCCATTTTTACAACCGCAAACACTGAGCACGCTCGCGGCATGTGATGTCATCGTGTCCTCTTCTGCGCATGCGGGACACTTTTGGGTCGTATGAAGATCACACAGCAGATCATATGCAAGTCGCATTTAATTGGAAACGTGAATGAATTCATAAAATAATTGGATTTCACAAAAAAATCTGAATTGAGCATTAAGTCCTGCAGTCTGAACGTAGCCAATCTGTGGGATTGTTCAGTCAGATAATTCTGTTTCTGGAGCCAGCATAGCGCAGTGAAACCTGACATTCCTCAACATACATGTGTGATACTGGTAAGTAAAAACCTACACACTACGTTAGACTCTGGAGGGTTGAAGTTTCTGAGCAACCAGCTGTTAGCAAATAAATGCCAATTGGGTGATGGAGACTCCGTAGTGGAGGCCATGTTGGACACAAAACAACCATTTCCTTTATACTGTTGGTGTAATTTTAAAAAAAAAAAATCATGCAGGCTTGCTTTAAAAATCTAAATAGATGACTGTGTGGAGATGGGTGTGATTGGTGGCAGGGGAGAGAGGTGTGGGGCAGAGCTCAGGAGATTAGTGTCAGGTGAGTTGATGGGTCCAGGTGCTGCTGGTCTGGCTAATTGTGGATATGCTTGTGCACATAGTAGGGTGCTGGCGGCAGAGGAGAGGAAGGAGGCCAAGGAGGAGGATCTCTGGCTGGTTGGTGAGACAGAAGACGCCGACGGGAGAGCGCGTGCTGCAGGAGCCGGGCCGCTGCAGACACGCGGCCGCTTTGTGTTATTTCTATTGTTTTGTGCCGGGTTTGCGCCGTACGGCCAATAAAGACTGTGGACTGGCAGCGATTCGTGTGTCTGTGCTGGGGGGAAACCCACGGAGGTAGCGAGACGGCTACAGACTGTTTGCAGCACAGATCTCCGCGGCACATACGCACCATTTATGCACATGTGCCTGGTGCAGCCATTTTCATTGACTGTAATAAAAGCAGCGTGTTGCAGCATCCGCTCTACGTATGGGCTGCATATGTTATACATTCAGTGTGTCCAGGCTAAGTGAGAAAAGTAAGTTAACCTACAAAAAAAATACTCACTTGATGACATCCATGATGATTGTTAACGTGGCAGACTGTCGGTTAAAGAGCCACTCCGGTGAAAATCTGTTTTTTCCCCCTTTGTTAACATATATCTACATGGTGTTTTTAAATATGCAGGTAGACATATGATGGGTGAAATCAGCGGTCAGTGTCATGGCAGAGCATCTCTGTCTTGAAACTGCAGCGTACTGACAAAAACAGTTTGACTCGGATTCAGACTTACGGCGTTTCAAACTCCAAAAATCTAAAGAATCTAATCATGTCAGCTTGCAGGGTGGGGTTTCCTTTAATGTACACAAAACACAAATACATATTAATCCAACATACTTGTCATTGTGTAGAGCGGAATAACTGAGGAAAAAGCTGCAGAAGAGCTGGTGTGCTTGAGCTGCAGCGAGTGTAGCTAGAGATGGAGACTTCATAGTTCCGCACACTTTTAAGGCTGCAATAGTGTGCGGAAGGCAATAAGGGATCCCTTTCATGAATTACATGTGTTCGTTTTGATAAACAGAGATGAGCTTTGAGGGGTTTAATCGCTGACCGGAGAGACGTTTTCAAGAAAACAGTTTTTTATTTACACCATTACTTCAAATGCCAAGATTGTTAGGTTTTAAATGCTAAATGGCGTGCTCCTTATTCTCACAAAACACCGTCTGTCCTTGGCTGGTGTGCTGCGGTTACAGACACAAGTTTGTTTATGTTGTGCCTCAGCGCACCAGCTGGGTCAGCTGTCAGTCACACACCGGTCCACCCACTCAGCGGCTCGGACGGTAAGGTTTCTGATTTGGTCTTGGTGGGTTTAGTGAAAATGCAGCAGCGGTGAGACTCCTTCTGGGTGATTCCATGTTTATAACCACTCGGTCCTTGACTTGTGTGCGTGTTTTTTTTCCCCTTCAGATTACTCAGTCATCCACTCCGTCTCGTCCTCGTTCACTCCATCATTTTCTGTGACTCACTGCCATTCACTCACTTTCTCATCGTAAATTCACTCCATCACTCACTCACAGCAGCGTTCACGTGGTCTGTCTAATCCCTCCCTCACTCCTTCACACGTTTCCTCTCTCCGCTCGCTGTCTGACCTGCTGTTCCATCAGCTGTGGAATAAATGTCAAACTCTTCAGCATCAGCCTCCATGTCCTGCATGCTGCAATGATACTCTGGTCTCTATGTGCTGCTGTCC